GAATGGACATTAAATGCCTACAGAGCTAGACAGAGAAGGTAAGCAAGTGAGGCAGCCAGGTATAAGAAAAATCTCAGGGCTCTTGCCTTTTCAGTTTTTTAAACTTGATAGCCATGCAGGTGCATAGAACTCTTTCCTGGCATAAGAAAAGCCACCGCATGGGCATGATGACAAATGGCTACTGCCTAGGTTTTGGGGAGCAATGGAGAATGATGGTGACCGTGATGTCCTGGGGAGGAAATGCCCCATATAATGGGGGCAGCTTTCACCCCTTTCCAGCATCTAATAGATCGTTGCCTTGTGGAAATGGAAGACCTCATTCTTCTGAATTTCCAAGAAAAGTTGGAACCTGGATTTTTGTTTTCCCCCTAAAATCGCCTGATTTTTAAAATGTTGCCTTGATTTTGCAAACTGTGCTGGTCAAGTAAAAGACATCTATGGGCTAGCTCTAGACTGCAGAGCCCATTTGTGACCTTTGCTTTAAAGAAACAAAGTATTTCCATGTATTCATGGTTTCTTACTAATGCTATGATCTGAGAGAAGCATTGGTGAGGTCAGCATTATTAAAATGTTAGCATCAGCCCAGTTTCCTAAGAATATAAGAAATGCCACATCAAGTCGGATCAGGAGTCCAATCAGCTCAATGATTTGTTTCTCAGAGTAGCACCAAGGGAGCATTTGGGACAGATTTAGAACCTCATCTCTTTGGCTCCAGTCCCCAAAGGTTAGGGGAGTCCAACAGGATTTCTGATTTTCTTGTTTTTGATTCATAAATGATCTCAAGTTCAGGGACATACCAGTATAAACAACACGTCTCCTAGTTTTACTGAAGCTTAACATTTGATCATAGTGGCTTCAGATATATTTTTAAATTTTAAAATAAAATGTGGCTACTGTCCACGTTCTTGGTTACTACTCCTTCTCCAGAAATACCATCATCCGAAACTTTATGTGGGCCATCTCCATGTGTGCTTTCTTAGCTTAAAAAAGTGTACACCTTCCACCCATTACCTTAGCCTAAAAACCTGAGCTATGTACAGGTGAACAATCTCTTAAGTTGTAGGGAAAACAAATAATCCAGAAGGGGACCATTAACCTTGTTTAATCTTTCCACATTGTAAGTTTTCTTCTGGAATGATGATCTTTGTCCTACCCACCCAACTTGGGTGGGATGACAATAAAATGAAATAACGAGAATGAATGTTCTTTGGAGAAAGATAAAGTGTTATCCACATGCACTTTCATTAATGAATTCCTTACATGTCTTACACCCTTCACAAAGTATAGTTTATTTTATTGTCCTCAAAGTTGGAGTGGCCTCTATTCCTCCTGAATAGGAGCTGTCCTTCCCAGCTTGATTTCATAAACTTTGATGACAACCCTTCTCAGCCTTTGTCTTTCCAGACGAAGAAGTAGAATTATTTTATTTTTTCCCAAAAGGAAAAGTGTTGTATTACAGTTTTCCTAATTGTTTTTCTAAGCCGTTCCTAAGTCTGTTATATTTCTCTGGAGGCACAGTAGCCAAAATTACCTGCAGTATTACAGGTACAAAAAGTTTTGCTTAGATGAATATTTATTCAAGCATTTGGTAAACGTAATTACACGTAAGTAAACAAAACAAAACCCAACCATATCAAAACCACAATGATATGCCACCTCACACCCATCAGGATAGCTATTATCAAGAAACAAAAACAACAAGAAAATAACAAGTGCTGGTGAGGATGTGGAGAAACTGGACCCCTATTGCACTGCTGGTAGGAATGTAAAATGATGCAGTTGCTGAGGAAAAGTTTGGAGGTTCCTAAAAAAGTTAAAAATGAAATGACCAAATTGTCCAGCAATCCCACTTCTGGATATAAACCACAAAGAATTGAAAAGCAGGATCTCAAAGAGATATTTATAAAACTATGTTCATAGTAATGCTATTCACAATAAGTGGAAGCAACTCAACTTTCTATTAACAGGTGAATGGATAAAACAAAACACGACACACACACACACACACACACACACACGAATAGTATTCAGCCTTCAAAAGGAAGGAAATTTTGATACATGCTATGACATACATGAATCTTGAGGAAAGACATTATGCTAAATGAAATAAGCCAGTCATGAAAAGACAAATACTATATGATTCCACTTATATGAAGTACTTAGTGTAGTCAAATTCATAGAGACAGGAAGGAGAATGGTGGTGGCCAGGGGCTGGAGGTATGGGAAGTAGTTGTTTAATGGATAGAGAGTTTTAACTTTGCAAGCTGAAAAGAGTTTTAGAGATTAGTTGAACAACAATGTGAATATACTTAACATTACTGAACGGTACACACTTAAAAATGGCTTGGATGGTAAACAAACAAACAAACAAACAAACAAACAAACAAAAAGAACCAAAACCAACTGAAGTCTAGGGCAGTAAGATTCACGAGAGATGATGAGAACATCACAAAAAGCTACGCAAAAGTCTCCAACAAGCAGTACCCACTACCGAGAGCATAGTTTTCCTGCTGAGAAAGGAGATCTCTAAACGTTTTACCCACGAGTCACTGTGGTTCATCAACTTGTTTTGCCAACAAGATAATAAGACCCATCTTATGCTTCCGTTACCTCTCTCACAGCACCTAGACGGTTACTAAGCATTTACAGGTTGTCTTAGGAAAGGCTCAATAACTATTTCTCGATGGGCTGATTGATTGAAGGGAACGCGTTTAAAATGCAGCTGTGGAGACGCGGACCTAACACAGGTCCTGATGTCACCATTTCCTAGCTCGCCACAGCCTACGTAACTTCTCTAGGCCTCATTTTTCTAAGGCACGCATTAAGGCGACTAACAGTTACAACCTCATTGAATTACTGTGAAGATTAAATGAGCGGTTGCGTAGCACAGTGTCTGTCTAGAAAATCAAGGAAAGAGGTAAAGGTAAATATGTAAGAAACAGCTGGGTTGATTGAACCTGGTCTGTGACCCTTTACCATGTACTCCCATGCCTCCAACAGAGGCTGGTACTTAGTAATTGCTCAGTAAGGAGTTCCTGAATGAAAGATACATCTATCAAACAATTCCTTAGTTTATTTTAAAGACAAGGACTCTATACTCAAGAGGTAAATCGTGACGGATACCTGTATTCATTTCTGGGAACTGTTACTTTTTCAGGCCCTCGTAGCTCTATTTCAGGTTTATTTAGCACCTACTATATCTTCAGCAGTCTCAGCATCAGGATTGCAACATAAGACAAAACACACTCCCCTACCCGCTAGTTGCTCTCAGTCAAGGGGAAGAGACAAGTATGGAAGCACAGGATGGATTAAGGGCCACACCTGGGGCATGTCCGAGGTGGTGTAAAGGAAAGTTCCAGCGACCTTGTGAGAGGGGAGTACAGTGTCGATGAGGGAAGACCCCCAAGGGGAAGGCATTCGAACAGGGTCGGGAAGAGCAGATAGGGCTTCTCCAGGTGGAGAAAGCGGGGAAAGGCAGAGAGGGTGAGATGTGCAAAGGCATGAAATACAGGTGAGGGAGATGAAGCCACCAGACACCTTCCGGGGAAGTGTAAGTTGTTTCCATGAAGCACAGGGAAAAGGGGGAGAAGGGAAGAACCCTTACAGAGACGGGTGGGGGTGAGACGGCCCAGAGCTCACTGGCTTGCAGAGGAGAGGGGAGGCGAGGGAAAAGCTGGGGGAGAAGGGGAGGGTCTATGGATCTCGGCTATGGTGACAGGGATGGATATGAGAGATGTTAAGGAAGGTGAATTCATTTTACTTGCTCTGTAGTAAGCGGTGCAAAACTTAAACCACCAGCCACATACATACTAAAGTCAGACCTGCAAGACTTTTCATGTTGGCATATTGCCTGGAAATATACACCACTGTTTAAAAAGTGAAGTGAGAAAGAGAAGACTGTATGAGTCAATCTCAATGGTCATTACCTCTGCTGGCTTTAGTGCATTTGCTTCCCGCTGAACCCAAGGAGTTAACTTTGCTGGAACCCCACGCTTTGGTTTCAAAACTGCAAATCAAAGTCCTTTTCCAAACAGATCGAGTTCCAGCGTGGAGGGTTTTCTCCTCCAGAGCTCTAGCCAGAGGAGCTCCGTGGAGAAGGCAGGTGCTCTGGTAGCACCGAGTCTATAAAATACTTGTGACAGCCAAGTTGAGTATGGTGGCTAGATAAGCATAGCTGAGTGATGCCTGAGAGTGAGGAATTGGGGTCCAGAAATGGAAATGAGTGGTGGTGACAACGTGTCAGGGCAAGATTTTATCAGTCCTATGGTACCATAAAAAAACTTGACCCTAGCTTCCGGTCGAGGCCATGGGGCTGGGCCAATACAGGAGAAGGTGAGAAGATGCGAAACCCAGTCAGATGATACAGAAGCTAAGGTGGAACTACCAGATTTCAGGAGGCTTTCTAAGTGATCTAGAATGAGTGCAGAGGAGCTAAGTCTTCAAAAAGGCATCATCTCTAAGAGGGTAGTAGTGAATTAATACCAGAAGGGATAGAGAATGTCGTAACTTTCAATTACCTAACAATTATTACAAGCTGTGAATAGATTAATCATAAACCATTGAAAGTTCCTCTAGGATCTATCTATGTTTATATACATTGCATAGAATCACAGTCATAATCTCATACCCTTTGGAACAACTTTGCCCAAATATTTAAAAAAACAAAAAACCCCCACCATTTTTGACCAAGAGTTTTCAAGGTACACAATCAACCCTTTGACTCCTGTAGTATTTAATCTGGGCTTCCTACCCCCCTCCACCCTCCTTTTCTCCTGGACCCCTCCCCAGGCTGCTTCAAAAGCTTAAGACCAGAAAAACAGTGTGGAAACACAAGCCACAATGCCTTCTATACTCAATACGGGTTCATTTTATAAACTAGGTTGTTGGTTAAGGTTAAGTGCTAAACCCCAAAATGTCCACTGACAGTTACTGATAAAGAAGAAAAGTCAGCAGATCCCTTGAGCAAAAGAGGCTAACAAGCGAGCAACCCAGCGCCTCACCCAGCTCCACATCTTGGTCATCAGTGAGCACAAGGATAATGTTGGGTCGGATGTTTTTCCGTTCCTGCGGTATGCGTCCTCGGAACCTCGGGGATCTGACAGTCGAACAGAGGTTCCCCAGCAGTTCTGCGCCCAGGACGGCCAAAACCAGAGCCCAGCACGAATACTTCATTGTGTTTGGTCCAATGTCGCAAAACCGACAAAACGTCTCAGCCTCCTGGTTTCTGCAGGTCTGGGCAGTCAGAGAAAAAGCGAGAGGGGGAGACTGAAATGAAATCCAAACTCCAAGCACAGTTGCAGAAAAAGGGCTTCAGCTAAGTGAGAACTGGCACATAAGCTGGCAGAGAAAGGGCCGACATGAGTCACAAGCGGCAAACCCTCACAGGCGTTGGGTAGTTTTTTAAGCACTTGATTATTTTGCAAATTCACTTTTGTCCTTTATTCTCCTTCCAACTTTTCCTGTTTCAGTGCACTGCCAAAATATCATTTCCAACGCGGGGCTCGAGTGTAAAAGCTTTCTGACAAGAGCTAATACCTTGAATTAGGTATCCTGGTTGAAAAATCAATTTCTATACCCAGAGGTGTTCAGAACATCTGCAGATGGGGTCCTGGAAGGGGGAGAAGAAAAAAATACAAAGAAAACATCAGTCAAGGATTTTGATACAGGTGTTTGGTCTGAAGTGGTCTCTTAAAACACACACACACACACACACACACACACACACACACACACTTACTTTATCTGCACTCCAAAAGGGAGAAAAAGGAGGAAACAACCTTCAGAACTGCTAACAAATGACTCAACCTCTTCATCCCATAATCAGCTCCATAAAACGGAGCCAAGGGTATTATCTCCTCTCACACTCTAATTGTACTTTAAACACCCCCAAGAAAACTGATGATTAATCAGGAAGACGCAGCGGTGCCTGTCCAACCACAGTCTTTTGGAGAGTGCACCTGTGGGGCAGGTGACACCGCGGCACGAGGGGGTGTGTTGGGGGAGCGTTAACTCACCTGCGTAAGACACTGAGTACTTATCACAGCAGAATGCAACACAAAGCTGTCACTTGTCACCTGCATTATGTCACTCACTACCCAGGAAGAGTTCTTTTTGCTGACAAAGACTTCATAGTAAGTGACTGGGAGGGCAACCTTTCCCAGCCTCCAAAAAGCTCCTCGCTGCCCTCCATCAATCATCAGGGGAAGAGGCGCTTCCTCCAAGCACGGCTGGTCCCTGTGTCCAGCCCGTGTGCTCAGTGCGCTGGCGCCAAAGGGGACAGAGCCCTCCTTCGACTGTCAGCACCAGCCTCACTATTATCAGGACCTGCTGCAGCGCCACCAGCACAGAGGTTGTGCTTTGCTGCAGCGGATCTAAACCCGCAGAGCAAAATGATTGACGGCTTCCAGGCTGGGGGTGAGAGGCTAGCCTTCCAATTCAAAACATAAAAAAGACCCAGAGGGGAGCACTGTACAAGAGGGGAGCTGGAAAGGGTTGGAAAATGCCCCCTTCGCTTTAGAACACTAACCTGCTGCAAGCTTTCCCCTTGGACTTCTAAAAGATAGCGAAGGACTCACTAAGCAAAAACCAAAACATAAAACTGTCCCTTGGATGTCAGGAGGGAAGGTCTGCATGGAAATTTAGGCTGCCCTTAAATTAATTAGACAGCAGCCCACTTCATCAGGGCGTCTGTCCCTGCACACCTGAGGTTCTATTTTGATTTGCAACAATAAACTGGCGTCAGATAAATAAATGTAATGAAGCAAGTGTGAGCATTGCATAGCAGGAGGAAAAGGACTCCGTGGCTCCCTTCCATGCCTTAAATTCTGGAGGGTGGCATGGGGCAGTGAAAGAAGAAAGACTGTGCACTGTTTACCTCAGCCACATGCAGTATTTTGTTTACACACACACCCCCCTATTATTTTAAACTTTATGAGCTGTTTTGTAAACAGTTCTAATGCTTTTCATTCTGCAGCCTGTAATTACTCTGGGGG